GGGCAGACTGAGAAGAACTACTTGAAAGTCACATAGCCAGCAAAATGTTTGTTTCTAAAACATAATATCAATTGTCAAAACACAATTTTTCAAATGAGACTAGGTAGACACTTGAATAGACACACTCCTGAAGCTAATATACAGAAGCAAAAATGAACAACTCAGCACCAATGGTCTTGGGGAAATGCACATCCAGTCCTCAGTGAGCTGTCCTACACAGCTAAAAGTCAGCCAAATGTTGATGAAGTCATGGAATTGGCATTCCAAAGCCTTGCTGGTAAACATGCAAAAATATACAGCCTCCTTGGAGAACAGTTCAGTAGATTTTCAAATATAACTATAAACATGTACTTAATTTCAATAGCCCCATTCCCAAGTTTTAACCCCAGAGGAAAAAAACTGATGTTCTTTGTACACAAATGTTGAAAGATGTTTTATTAGAAATTGTCCAAACGAATACTCTAAATGTCCTCATTCCAAATTATTTTGGACTGGCTGGAGCACACCTCAAGTCAAACTGCCAGCCCCATCTCCATGACAGTCTTCCAAGACTTCCATCCACCTGGTGCTGAGCCTGCTCTGGGCTGTGTAGAGGCACAACCTGATGTAAGTGGCTCTCTCCAGGCCCTGCCTGTTGTCACTCTTGTCTGTGCAGAGTCTGATCAATGCTCCTGTCAGTGTGCTGCTGTAGCCTACATGCTGTCCAACCAGTGCCAGGTGGCCCCAACAACCAGAACCTGAATGACAAAAGTGAATCATCCTTATAAACTGTTTTCCTGCAGAGGGCATTGTCGGGCTCAGTGTTTCCAATAGCCCATGTCCCTTAGTCAAGAGACAGCTGAACATCTCTAATTTACTAGCATCCAGGCAGTGTATTACAATCCCCTGCTAATGACAGTATTTTCAGGGCATGGTCATCTGCAGAGGGCAGGAGTCTCCTGAAGGATGCTCTCTGGGTGATGAGAATTTGGGGGTGATTAAGCCCAGCTGTCACCCCATTGGTTTTTCGAGAGATAATATGGAAAACTGGCTTTGTAATTCAAATTCAATTGCTTAACGATTTGAAAGTAGGGCTTTGGCAGGCCCTGAACTGCGCGTGCTCACTGAGCAACACTGGCTGTTGGGGGGTGAAGAGCAGACATGTTTACAGAGTTGCTACGCAACCGCAACCGCAACCGCTAACCTTTAACCAATCAGAGTTTGAGATTCCATGGCCACAGCATGCACAGTAGCTGTTAACTTCTCCGAAGCGATTCATCACATTGCTGGGCATCCGGCCCAGTTGAAGACAGAAGGGGCCTCTGGGTTCGGCAGCCTCTACCATGTCGAAAGTGGCTAGCTTGTCTTACAAGAAGAGCCAGCAGCTCTTGAAATCCTTGTGCGACCAACAACGACAAACCCTGGGCACTGGGTTTGAGAGTGCCAATATCCTTCTCTCACCCAAGTACCGCCTCAGAGACAGGGATCTGAGAAAGATCCACAAGGCTGCGCGTGTCGGGGATGCAGCCAGAGTGAGGCAGCTCCTGCTTGGGAAATGCGGTGTGAATGACAGAGACAAGAAGAAGAGGTGTCAGGGCCCAGGAGAGGGGAGGCTGTGGAGGAGGCAGGAGGCGGGGCTTGTGCGAAAGAAAGCCTCCAGACACAAAACGTTTACTACTTATGTCTCAAATGGAAAATATAATATTTTATAGAGAAGGTTTTCAAGTCAAGGAAAACACTAAACTATTAATCAGATTTATGCGTGAATAGACCCAGGGCCTTGGCATGCTAGCAAAAACACTCTACTCCAAAGGCCTTGGTTTATAAATTAAATTGAGGCTTGGAAGTCTACAATGCTATATGGACAAGGGATTCTTATTACTCTACCATATTGAAATTAGGAAATAATGGAGCATACATACAATTTGTTTCTTATCATTATTTAAAATGGTTTAAAAATAACCAGCAAACACATTTTATAAATAAACCTCAGGATAGCGGAAGACAGAGAGCTTCGGCAATGGCATAGAAATGGGTAGAGGTTTGCACTTGTGAAAGAATGTCACTTTGGAAGGTCACACATACACACAAACATCTGTAGCCTAAGCAATGATGAGTTGTTATAAAAATTATTTTTGTACATTTAAAATGTACATACAGATTTAGTTTTCATTACTTATAGTTCCAGTTCTCAGAGCAATCAGTTCTCTATTGGTTTGCTCATAGCTTAGTTTCATAAACTAGAAGATACACCTATATTAATTCCATATTTTGGCCTTTGCAAAGTCCTATTCTAGGGACTAGAGTACAGCTGGGTTGGAAGAAAGTTACCCACACACTTGTTCTTTCCTAAATACTAACTTCAATGCCCACTTTACTGATAGAAAAATTGAGGACTAGAAAGGATAGGACATAGCTAGTGAATAATAGAGCTTAAAGCAAGATTCAAACCCAAGTGGAACTAATTACAAAGGATACCTTCTTCCATTCAAATTATCCATTCTGGACTGGGGCAGAGCTCAATGGGAGAGCACCTGCCTGACATGTATGTCCTAGTTAGCTTCTTCTTGCTGTGAAAAACACCATGACCAAAAGCAACTAGAGGAGGAAAGGGTTTGTTCTAGCTTATGTCTCCTAGATCACAATCCATCTCTGGGAGAAGTCAGGTCAAGAACCCAAGGCAGGAACCTGGAGGCAGGAACTGAAGCAGAGGGCATGGAGGAATAGTGTTTTCCATGGCTGACTCAGCCTGCTTTCTTGTATCTCCCAGGATCCCCTGCCCAGAGGTGGCATCACCCACAAAGGGATGGGCCCTGCCACATCAATCATTAATTAAGAAAGTGCCCTCAGACTTGCCTACAGGCCAATTGGATGGGGACATTTTCTTCCTCAAGACTTGTCTTCCAGAAAATTCTATCTAGTGTCAAATTAATAAAAAACTAACCTTCACAATGCTTGAGGCACATACACACACACACACACACACACACACACACACACACACACACACACCTTCCATCCAAATACACTGTACTTTCACTGGTATAAGGATCATTAACAATAAATACTATAACTTCTGTAAGAGAAAATTAAACATTTAGGCTTTTTTCTTTAAGATGAGATCTTATATAGCCCAGATGGCCTCAAACTTGCTATGCAGTCAAGGATGACTGAACTTCTGATCCTCCTCCTTTGACTTCTTCAGGACTAGACTGTAATCATTCAGCACCACACCCAGTCTATATGGTACAGTAGGTCAAGAAGCTACCACCACACCCAGTCCATGTGGCACTGTATGCCAGGATACTAAGATAGCACCCCATAAACACTTGATTTGAAGATGGAGGAATTGTATGTGGTTTAATGTTTAAAATCACCGGAGGGATTGTATTTTTCAATCATGCTATATAATGCCTAAAAAGACATTCTTTCCCATTTTCATAGGACTGCCCTACACATTGCCTGTGCTTATGGTCACCCAAAAGTAGTGATGGCCCTGATAGAAGGAAAGTGTGAGATTGATGCCATTGACAGTGACAAGTGCACAGGTCTAGTGAAGGTATGTGACAGCTAAGGATTTCAGCATGAGACAGCCTTGATTAAAATGCTTGGAATGAAAAGGAATCTGTTGTTAGGTTAAAATAAATAGTTGGTGAACCCTGTGTGCTGTTTATTCTGAATTCTTTGAATTTATAATCTGTTTCTTGGTGCAATTTCAACAGGCTGTGCAATGTCAGGAAGAAGAATGTGCCACCATTCTGCTGGAGAATGGCGCTGACCCAAATGTTGTTGACACCCTGGGCAATAGCGCCCTCCACTATGCTGTCTATTATAAGAATACATCACTGGCTGCAAAACTGCTTGAGCATGAAGTGAATATTGAAGTGATAAATAAGGTAGATTTCATACATAAGAAAAGTGTCAATCAACTCACCATGTCTGCTAAGTGTGTGGAGAACCCTTGTCTATGTCTATGGACACACAGGCACCATCTTCCATCTTCAGAAACTCAAGTATACCTGGGATGACCTGCCCCCATCTCGACAAGGTCTTACTTTATAGCTTGACTAGCCTTGAATTCAATGTGTAGACCAGGCTGGCCTTGAACTCAGAGACAGAGATCCACCTACCTCTACATTCTGAGTGCTGAGATTAAAGACATATGCTACCACACTCTGCCTCCAACATATCAACTCTTTAAGTGTTGATACTTTGAAAGAAGTGCCAGAGGCACAGTCTTCTTTTATACACTCATGTTAAATGTTTGTGAAAACACTGAATGTGTTAAAGGTAAATCTAACTACTTTTCTGCCCATTGAAAACTAACACAGGCAAGCATCATTTGCCTTGCAAATAGGCTTTACCTTAAAACCCAAAGTTCAAAAGGAAATCTTGTAGTTGGAGACCATTTATATCGAAGATCTCTCTCTCTCTCTCTCTCTCTCTCTCTCTCTCTTTCTCTCTCTCTCTCTCTCTCTAATGCCAATTTCATTTCATAACAGATTTTTTCAAGTAGAGATTGAGCAGGGAAAAATATTTTCTTAATACTAGATAAAACTATAAATACATAGTTTTATAATAGTTCTCAGAGGAATATTAGAACTTTTCCATGAGAGGCAGCATTTCTAGTAAATATTCGTTGGAAGGTAAATTTGGAACTACTGTTCTGGAGTTGATGGTATAGTTCACTTACTCAAAAAAGCATGTACAATTTTACTACCATGGTTTAGAATCTGAGGGCACTGACATAAAAAAAGATGTTGATTTATATGAGAGCAGACACATGACTCTAAACTGCTGTGGTAAACACCATAATAGGAACAAATACTCTTGGAGACAGTGAGTGTGGACATTTGGAGAGGACTGAGCTCCCATGATACATGGGGGTGGGAGGTATGGTGATATATTATTTATGATTTATTAAAGCCTGACTGAGGATTCAGAAAGCAAAGTCCGCCACAAACCATAGAAGTAAGGCACATACCTTTAATCTCAGCAGCCAGAAACTAGGAGATGGTGGTACACACCTTTAATCCTAAAACTCAGGACGGATCTCAGTGAATTCAAGGCTATCCAGGGATACATGAGATTGAATCAGTCTAAAAGACTAACAGAGTTCACGCCTTTAATCCCAACACGAGAGAGGTATATAAAACAGGAGCAAAGCCTCAGTATCAGGCACCTCATTCTCCAGCCCCACTGAAGATTGAGGAGGCATTCATTCTCCAGCCGCACTGAGGAGAGGCAGCAGGATCAGCCCTTTCATCCTGAGGTAGTGATAAGAGCTAGTGGCCAACTACTTTGCTTTTCTGACCTTCAGCTTGAAGCTTGAACCCAAATATCAGTCACTGGGTCTTTTACCGGGAGGCACAGGGATTATGTGTCCTCATCATATATTTGTATCCAGAGAGCTTTTCTAAAATTTTTCAACTCAGCTGACAAATATATGATTTTTTGTGAGTTTAAAATGGTTTTTGTCGTTTTACAGAGTGGCTTCACACCATTTTTACTGGCTGTCAGCGAAAACAAACTGAAGATGGCAACATTTTTATCAACGAAGAATGCTAATATACATACAATTGATAACCAGAAAAGGTATTATAATCTTTTAAACTTTAGTGGTGGTGTACAGTGGTAACAAGTACTTAGTTATAAATATTGAATTAATAGGAAATAGAACAATTTATAATAATTAGGATATAATGAAAACCCAACATAAATCATCAGTACTATGCAGAAAAGAAATTATTCAGAATGGGCAACACAAAGAACCATATATATTGTAGCACATCCACATTCCCTTACATATTTATTGATGTTTGTAAACTAGTTTTGCTGGCCATCTAGTCTTATAGCAGCTGAAGAGATTCCAAAAGTTTTATTCTAATTTGATAACACACAGATTCAGTTCATTTTTTGCCTCAATATTGTACTTCTTAATCGTTTCACAGCATTTTAACCTCTGCTTTTTATACACTTTGCTTTAAAAAGCTATAGTAAGCAGAAGCAGGAGTTGAAATTGTTTTGTCTTTGGAATGACTCCTTCAGGAAAGTGCCATTTTACAGTATGAAGGACATTTAATTATATTAGCCCTATATGAAATGACTATTATTAGTTCTAGCTGCTGCTAATTTTTTTTATTTTTAACAGTATGAAGGACATTTAATTATATTAGCCCTATATGAAATGACTATTAATTATTAGTTCTAGCTGCTGCTAATTTTTTTTTATTTTTATTAGCATAGGGGTGTTTTTATTTGGAGTTGGCATTGGTATGGGGAAGAAAATGAGCTATGTTTGGATAAACCTTTCATGAAGATGAAGAGGTAGTGTAAAGGTAAAGGAGATTGGCTCTAGAGTCACATAACACTGGATCATGTCCCTGGCTTCCGCAGTTGTCATGTGTGTGACTTTAGGAACATTACTGACCACTAAGCATGCTTCCCCCTGTGAAAAGCAAGGTCATTAATCCTAAAATAGCTGATGGAAAGTTCTATATGTAGCATGTCGTTCTGGGCCTAGCAAGTGACTGTGAGCATCTGCAACTGAAATCGCTGTCACTATGGCAATTATTGCTGTATCAACTGTTGTTCCTTTGAGATGGGGTCCCACTATGTAGCCCAGCTTGGCCTGGACCTCACTTTGTGGACCAAGATTATCTAAAAATTATATCAATCCTCCTGCCTCAGTCTCCTTAGAGTTGGAATGAGAAGCATGCACCACCATTCACGGATAATATGCTTTGAGGCCGGCAAATAACTGTTTTCTATCTGCCTCCAGCTGCCTGTGAAGTATATACATGAAGTGGAGAGACACTTCCTTTGGTGGTTTGCTTTAGCTTATTTTTGAGTCAGAGTCTTGCTTTGTATGGGATCCCAAGCATGCGCCATCTTACCTGATGAGAGTTCTTCATTTAAATTTTGCCCTTAGAGTAGTTATTGTCCATCAAAGTAGCATCTATGATGAGATGTCACAGGGGAGTGGGAGGCTTTGTACTTTTTATCAACTTAAAGTTTCAAAACCTTAAGATGCTTGGCTGTTATGTGTCAATAGCCAATTCTACTTAGACAATAAGTAGATCAAGTATAGCAAACTAGTCCTTAATTTTGTTAAATTCCTAAGGGTGACATTATTTCTATGCTTTTTCAGAACAGCCCTCATGCATGCTGTAAGTCACGACTCAACAAACCTAGTCAGATTTGTTCTTCAGCAAGGTGTAGACCTCTTTTTGAAAGATGCCTTTGGGTTGACTGCAATAGATTATGCTGCTGATTTTAAATATGATACGTAAGTGCTTACATTAATTGTTATTGACTATTAAATGGAGATTCAAAATAATTACAATAGTGCATCTTATACCTTAGGGCAAGCTTCTTACTCAGTTCAGATAGATTTATAATGGCAGGGTCTTAGTCTACATTCATTAGCAGGTACCAAGCAAAGACTGCCCTGGAGGTAGCAGTGGGTGAGGGATTCATAATCTTGGGCCTTCATTATTTTTGGGTTTTTCCTTTTTGGTAATACTGGGAGTTGAACTCAGAACCCCATGCTTGCTTCCCAAGCTCTACCACTGAGCTTTACCACCAGCCTCTATCCTGGGACTTTTAAGGTCTTTATTCTTAGAAATCCCAATGCTGTTCATCCCAAATATTCCCCCTAAAGCACAGGGAAGACATTATGCCACGTCTATGATTTAATTGATTCTATTAGATCTATTCTAATGATTTATTTGAGTCTAAAAATGTCTAGTTTAGAATTAAAGTGATTTTTCCACCAGAATCCATTTTCCACAATCACCCGCTTAAATGTCCCTAGAAGTTGGTGGTTTGCTCAAGTCCAGGGTCAGATGGAGCAGGGGTTTTGTTTCTGTTGAGTCTCTTGCTTCAGGACTGCCATGAAAGCTGGCACAGGAAGACAGCTAACTGCCAGTTTGTTCCTGCTGGTACAGTCTGGGGCCTTCTGACGGGGCACATTTAGCCATAAAGGAAGGCTTGGGGTACTTAACAGTTGATGGTCTATGAGGCAATAAATACTGTAAAGAATTTAACATGCTTAGTGAATGGTTTTCACAACAGTATTAACTTTACTTTTGTTTACAAAGCAACATGGAAATCCTTCTTGAATATAAAGAAAAGAGGTATGAGGAATCCGAAAAAGCCAACATAGGTAAGAATCACAACAGGTGTGGCTGTCCCAGATTTAAAAACTAAAAGACTATTTGGATAAGAGCAGCTTTAAAAATGTCAATGCATAAAATGCTTTATGTTGGTCTTTATTTCATTATGGGTAGTCTAGAATTCCCATGTTTTTAAGAAATTATTTGTAGACGTTCCCATCCTGAAAGAAGATTGTCTGAAAAAAGGTCCATTATTGTTCTGGAAACTAAAATTCTGAGTGTATGTTTATAAATAGGGAAACAATTTGTAAATTACCATGTGGCATAGTCCCTTAGCAGTTTCATTGCAGCAATTGGACTTATTAGAAAAACAGATTTTCTTTGTAACTTTTGAAATAACTGTTTTATAATTGCTAGATGAATATTATGAAATAATTGCCAGTGAAAAGTGATATGTATAATTAATACAAAATGTTTTATTATCAACTACTTACTTGCTTAAATGTGCAATTTTAAATTCTTCTTCCTGATTTCTCCTATGGCCCACTGATCCTTCAAGGGTGTGCTGTTAAGTCTCTGTGTGCTGGTATAGTCCTTCTAATTTCTCTTGATTTCTGGTTTTATTCCATTTTGACCTGATAAGATATACAAATATTTTAATTCTTTTATATTTGTGAAACTTGCTTTATGGCCTAATGTGAGATTTCAAAGAAAGTTTCATGAAATTCTGAGAATGTGTTTTCCATAGCTGTTGGATAGATGCGTAGAATATTTTGTGAATGTCCAACTCCATTTGGTCTATGATATAAGTTACCATTGAGGTTGCTTTTCTGGCTTTTGTCTCATAGACAATTTATTGATAATCATGAGGTATTGAAGTTGCCCATAGCATAATGTCATACTTGTCTATATCTTTATGTCAAATAGTGGTGTATGAAATTGAATATATTCAATGACTATCACATCTTCTTGGTGTAATAGTCATTTTATTAATATGTGGTGATCTTTATCTCCCATGATTATTTAGAGCATGAAATCTATTTTGCCAAACAAAAGTATGCCTACTTCTGATTGGCATTTTATTCCATTTGCCTAGAATATTATTTTTTAATCCTTTCAGCTCAGACTCAGTGTGTCTGTTATTGCAGAAAACTGTTAGATCTGTGTTTTAATCAATCTGGTAGTCACATCTCTTCATGGTCTAATTGAAACGATTTTCATTTGTGGTTATTACTGAGAAGTATTTGCTTATTTCTGAAAAAAAAAAAAAAACTAGTTGTCAGACTGGAGAGATGGCTCAGAGGTTAAGAGCACTGACTGTTTTTCCAGAGGTCCTGAGTTCAATTCCCAGCAACTACATGGTGGCTCACAACCATCCATTATGAGATCTGGTGTCCTCTTCTGGTGTGCAGATATACATGGACGCAGAATGTTGTATACATAATAAATAAATAAAATCTTTTTTAAAAAAATCTAGTTGTCCCAGTTTGTTTCAATATTTCTTTTTTCTTATTCATCCTAGAGGCTTGCTGGATTTTGAGTTCAAGATGTTTGATTCTTTTCTAGGTCTTACTTGGTTATTTCTCTGCTTTTGACGTTTATTCTTAGAAGATAATGTTTGTGATTGTCTTTATTTCTCTTGCAGAATTTCTTTCAGTATTTTCTGCAATGCCGATTTAGTGTTCATGAGTTGTTCAAGTTTTCAGTTGTATTGAAAGTCTCCACCTATTTTGAAAAATAACTCTGTAGTATAAAATTGCTTAGTTGGGTGGTATTTACTGTCAGAACTGGAATTATATCATTCCCTACTTTTCTGGGTTTTAGGATTTCTCCTGAGAGATCTGGTGTTACTGGAATGAATTTGCCTTAATAAGTCGGTATTTTTTTCTGGAATCTTTTGATGTTGTCTCATGATCATGGATCTTTAATGCTTTAACTATGATATGACGATGACAGATTTTTTTCTGGTCATATCTATTTGAGTTTCTAAATGCTCCTTGTATTTTTTGTGTCCATATCTTGCCCTAGATCTGGGAAATTTTCTGCCAAAATTTCATTAAGCAGTTTCCCACATCTTAGATTTCATCCCACTTCCTTCTACCCCACAGATTCCCAAAGTTCACATTCCTCCAAACAAAAACGTGGTACCCTATCACAGTAATACCCCACTCCTGATACCAACTTCTGTCTTAGTTATGGTTTCTACTGTTGTGAAGAGACACTGTGACCATAGCAACTCTTACAAAGGAAAACATTTAATCGGAGCCAGCTTACAATTTTAGTCCATTTTTGTCATGGTGGTAAGCAGGCAGGCAGACACAGTGCTGCAGAAGGAGCTGAGAGTTCTACCTGTGGATGCACAGGCAGCAGAAAGAGACCAAATCGTATTTCCTCCAACAATGCCTTGCCACACCTACTCCAACATGGCCATGCCTATGAGCCTATGGTTGTTATTTTCACTCAACCACACCCCCAAAACACATCTTCTCTACAAACTTCAGGCCTTCTATGTTTGTTACTGTTGTTGTTTTAAATTAATCCACCTAGTCCAATTAGTGCTGCCAGCATATGAATTGGTGTGGAGCCCATTATTTGTTGGACAATGTTGGTTTATGGTAGGGATTCTGCCAACTAGACCACTGTTGGTTAGTATATCATGGTCATTACACATTGCAGGTTACTTTAAGGAATTGAAGTTTCACAAATGTCATTTTTCTAACTTGCATTTGATAAGTAAAAAAAAAAAAGAGGAAGCAAGAGAGTTCTTAATGCATTCGTGGCCTATAAGTAAATTAGATTTCATTTTAGAGAACTCTTCAGGTCCAGTCTCACTGGAATACTTCTAATAAAATAGTCTTACACTTCCAATGTTTCCACTGTCCTCTTGAAAATTGTAAATGCATTCTACTTTTGTCTTTAATAGTGGAGAAAAGTTCTGTGGATGGCTCTTCCAGAAGGTAGGATTTTATGTGTTTTAAAAGACTTGATAACTGATTAGAGAGCAGAAAAGAAAGTAATGTTTTGAACGTTTTTCTCTGGAATGAACATACTGTTAGATGTTTAAAATTGTTCTGATTGTTACCACAAGAGCTTTGAAAAGTTCCTGTCTGGTTGTAATCTATTTCATATCAGCTAGATAACTGTCATACATAAAGGTTGAGTAATTGGCTTGTGATTCCATAACTGACATATAGGTGACCCAGATCTGACTGTAGGCTGGCTGGCTTCCCTGTGCCTCCTCTGGTCCTATGCATAGAACAGTGGGCGTTGTATCATGCTGGACTAGAGATGCATGTCCATATCTGTTCAGTTCAAACTACAAAATTCAATCATAAAGTGCCTGGTTTGGAATTTTCCTGAGCATCCCAGTCCAAGAAGGTGTCCCAGTTTTTGACAAGTGCGGTGGTACCAAGGCCTTGTTTTATATTGGCTTGGTTTTTAGAAATTCCTTATTTTTCTCTTTGACAATTCCATATAAATATACAATGTGTTTTGACTACATTTACCTTACTTCACCCTTCCTCATCCTTCCCACTCCTGCTAATGCCCCAGTACCTTGTTTTCAACCATGAAAAGTTTGAGGGCAGATCTTACTCAGCTGTGGCCCTGAATCTATTGATTTTATGTAAACAAGATCAGATAAGTTTGGAATGGAATTATTTTAATAGAAGTGAAAAATTTTAAATGCAGTATTTAATTAATTATATTAAGCATGACTTTAGTGGATTTTTAAAAATTTTCTCTACTTACTGTTTCCCAAGCATGGTTTTCCTTAGGCCATTGCCCATGCCTCATCCCCTGAAGTATTCCTCTCTTTTATAAAATGCTTTTTTCCCCTCTATGACTAGTCTTTTCTTCATTATTTTTCTTTCAGTTCTTCTTTGACTTTCTTATTGTGGAATATTACTTTAACTATGTAAAGATGTGTTACATTTGTTTATGCTGTGGAATATTTAACTAGGCAAAGATGTATATATTTGTTTATGCTGCATTTGTTTAATGATGTAAAGATGTGTTGCTTTGATTGTTCTAATAAAAAGTTGGACAGCCAATAGCTAGGCAGTAGAGGGATAGGCAGGGCTGGCAGGCAGAGAGAATAAGTAGGAGGAGGAATCTAGGCTTGGGGGAGGACAGAATGAGGGAAGAAAAAAAAGGGAGACACCCAGGGCCAGTCAACCAGGCAGCTGCCAGACAGACAGACATAGAGTGGGACATACAGAATGAAAGAAAGGTAAAAAGCCCTGAGGCAAAACATAGATGAAGAGAAACAGGTTAATTTAGATTATAAGAGTTAGTGGGACAAGCATAAGATAGGGAGCTGGTTGGTGGCCCAAAAGAAAGCCTGCTACACTTTCTAACCTTTTATTTTCTCTTTTTGCCAGTGTTCCTACTTGTCTATAGACAGAAGCAAAAGCCCATAGAATTTAAGGATTTTAAGGAAACTTATAATCAAAATATGCTCTGGTACTTCAACCTGTTTCAATTTATTTATTATCTGTTTATCTATTTATTTATTCATCTATCTATTTATTTATTTGGGGAAAGTGTCTGCACATGCTGTGGTGTCCAAATGGAGGACAGAGGACAACTTCTTTGTTTCCTTCCACCGTGTGAATTCTAGAAATCAAACTCACATTGTCAGGCATGGCAGCAGGCACCTTGCTAGCCTGTTTTTAATACCTTAACCAAATTGTTGTTTTGAAAGAAAACCTGAAACTCACAAATATGAAAGTGATTCATCTGCACCTGGTAAATGACAGGCAGGAGATTTGAACTTGAGTTCCTAGATTCTGAAGCCTGTCTCTTTCCTTATTTGTCATTCTGTAAGTGTCTCGATAATGGAAGAGGAGAGTGGTCACATCAAGTTAAAAGAAAGAACAGCCAGCATCCAGAGTGACTCTCTGCTTCCCAGTTCATCATCTAACCTAAACGTAAGGTACCCTAAAAATAATTTCCCATGTGATGTGGTAGTGAATATTTGTAATGCCAGCACTCAGGAGACTGAGGCAGAAGGATTGCCATGAGTTTGAAGTTAGCCTGGACTACAAAG